TTAAATAGAAATAAGAGTATTTATTACATCTGGTGTAAATGGCAAACTTCCTAATGCTATGCAGGTAAAGGGACACTTTTTTTTTTATTATTTGCAAAATAACTCGCAGTTCTGCTGCTCTGTTAACTCTTTCTTCATAAACTTTTTAAAACCATGCTGAGCAGCAAATGAAGCTGTTGCCTCTTGGGAGAAAAATATCCAAAGAAAAAGAACATCAAATGTTCTGTTGCAGAGAAAAAAAGACTCCAGACATATTCAGAATAGAGGTAACCTTGCTATTATAGTGCTTGATACTCCAGTCTTAATCATAGATTGTAATACAGATTTTTAAAAATAATTTTCTGTCTTTTTATTAAAGAAATAAAGGTTTAAAGTATTAAACAACCATAAGATTGATATCTATCTATATAGGGACTTCAACCGTGACTATACATACCTCTGCAAGCACTGAATTATTTCAGAGAGAAGGACAGGCTCATTATGTCGTTACTTGGTTAGAAGACTCTTGATTCCCTCTCTCTCCTGATAATTGTGAAACTCCTGGCCTAGGAGATTCTGGCAGCAAGAGGACGTGGGGGCCAGGTCGCACGCCAGGTGCAGCACGGCCTGAGGTTGGCTATTTCTGGTCTGTTGTTAAGTTTCAGCCATCTCAGGCTATCTCCACTATAAGCTACATCACCTCTGCTAAGGCAGTGTGACTTTGGCCTCAAAACATTTACAGCTGCGTTGAGTATTTTTTTTAATGGCCAATTCATTTGAAAAAAATGTCATTTTCTAAACGTTTCTTTCTCTGCAGAATCCAGATGGATGAAGAAAAAATACTTCTCTATCCAGTGAGCCTTCTCTGCTCTTTTTTGCTAGCCTTGCTGTCTCCAATGGGCCTCTGATGTGGGCAACAATACATAGGAGCTACTGAAAATGGTTTTCAAAAAATCTGATTACAGAAAGTGTTAGATAAAGGAAATGAGATTCTCTGAATCAGAGGTAGTTAACTGGTACTTGTTTTGTTGTTTTTACTAATGGTTACAGTAAGAAAGCTCAAAACTTGCTCACACCCAAATTACTTTCCGTTTTTTACTTTTTCACCAGCCTTTCTGATTCTTCTTAGAATAATAATTTTAAGTAAGAAAAGTAACTGTGATAGCATAAGTACTGTATAGGATTTAATTGTCCTTTATTCATGTTACTCCTCTAAGAAATCACTAAGTGCTTCATTATTAATACCAACAATACCAAAACCAGATGCCTGACTACTCCAATTAACTTTGTCTGAGCCAGAAATTGTCTTCCTTTTCCTCAAAGCACATATTAGGTTTCTAGTTAGAGATCAGACTTACATAAAACCCAATAAAGAAATCTTTCCTTCCCATATCTCAGACATTTCAATTTATGCGTATTCAGTGATTTGATTTATGAAGGGACTGTGAATAACTTAACTATGATGTTCTCCCGTTAACCAAGTTCCCAGAGGAACAAAATATTTGAGAAATAAGTAATATTCATAGTGTTTCATTCACTAGAAAGAGTTTAGGAGTTTTGAGTACATTAAATAAAGATTACAACTGGGGCACTGAGAAGATCTTCCAGAAATGAGGCAAACTGCTCATTTTGATTGAAAAGATCAAGTCTACAAATGCAGTTATTCATTTCTTCTATCTACAGTAATATGAGACATGTGGAGGAAAACAGTCCGGACATGCTATGAAGGCAAAAAGCTAAAAAAACATGCCAAAAAAAAAAGACACAGGAGATATAAGGCATTACAAATTAGATTAATTCCTGCAGAGGAATGGGAAGGCAAACATGATTTTAAGCAACAGCTGAAAGAACAGCTTCTTTAAACCAGTTCCCCTTATGGCACAACAGCACATCATGATCTAGAGCACTCACTACTTAAATCCACACTAACAGTATGATATCCACATCAGCCACTGCTAGGTAGTGAAATTCATTCTAGTATATCACACAGGGTGGTCTTATCACACTAGTCTACCACTACCAAGCATGTCATAGCTTGGCCATCTGTCTGACTACTCTCAGATGTCTCTGGACAGGACAGAAAAAGAGTTATGAGGAAGGCTTTGGAGAAGGACAATTTTGTGGAGTCTCTCAGAGAGCTCCTTTTCAACATGCAAGACCACCAAGGGGAAGTATGAAAGCATCCTGAATAGATTCAACAGGCCAACACTGCATTTTTCAGGGCCAGAGAGAGCCTGCTGTAAGAATCAAGACTAAGGTGACAGATGGGATGAGATTTTACCATATAGATGCAGCAAAAGGGCTGCATTTGAAAATATTTCCTCCCAAAATAACCTGCAAGGTTGGACACAAAACTAAAGGAACGTCCAGGTCATGTATGATACTCAAGTTATAGCCAGAGTGACGGGCAAGATGGCAATGTTGTCTACAATGATTCACAAAGGAGGAGATAAATACACTTGGTGTTAAGCGAATAGTTACTCCTATTCAGATGGGCTATGACCTAGCTGACAGCTGCAGAGACACTCCTGGAATCCAGTTTGGAAAGATGGAAAGAAGACTGGAATAAGCAGGCAAACCTGCAATTCATCCATGCAGAGACAAGAAACTGGAGAAGATGCTGTGTATAAAAAAAGTAGGGATCAAAAGACATCATGCAGAAGCCTGTTCTTAACTGGAAAGTTGGAGGATGAATTAAGAGGATTTTCATAAAGACGCAAGAGGGTGTGAGAAGAGACTGAAGCAGAAACAGTAAACAGAGGTAAAATACTCAAGACGACGTGCATAGTGATCATGTTGGTAACATGTCAAAGACTGAGCCTCTAGAAACTTTGAATTCTGAGCCTCTAGAAACTTTGAATTATTCTTAAAACTCTTGAATATTTGTCAAAACAGTGAAAATATGGTAATGGTGTTTCCTTAGACTGGCAAAGAACTTGAAAATAACTGTGAGGTACAAGCTCAGAAGCTACTGAAAGTCCTCAGTTTTGATATTCAAAAGTTTTAGTCATCCGATCATAGCATGCACACAAGGAAATAAAGCATTAATACCATGTGGTAGGATTCTGGATTAAACTCATCGTTCAGAAGTTTATTACCACTGGGGCCAGTGGAACTACACACATGGATAAAAATCCGTGAATAAGAGTGTCTTCGCTTAGTTCAAGGCTTAATGTCTCTTGATGTTCAACTTTAAAAAATGCCATGCCATGCCCACAATTGCTAGAAAATATTACAGACACAAAAGGTGGAATAGCTACAGCAAAATCATTCATAAAGACACCAATAGAATGGCAGGTGACTGTAATGTTAATGATGTTTCAAAAGGAGTTGTCATTTAAGAAAACTGCTATGGCAGTAAATGGACATTTCCCATGAAGAAGAATGACAGCCTGAAATCTAGCTAGCAGAGAAGAATTCACTAAATCTCCTATGAAATGTTTTGGTTTGTAGTTTCTTTTATTGATAAAAGGAAGGAAAAAACCACAAGATTTTATTTTTTCTGACCTCAGGAAACTACTAAAAGACAACAGCAAAACCCATATCCTAAAGTGCTGCAAAATGAAAGTAATGAAAACATGAATTTTAGTCCCATTTTTCTTGGGATTTGGACGATTTAGAACAGGGGGTTGGAACAAGTTAGCTTACGACAGGGAAGCAGGCCAGGTGGCTCCGTGAGCCGTATGGATGAGTTCCTCAGTTTGATTTGCTCAGCCTACAGCCCTTCAGGCAAAGCAGGACATATGCTCAGACTCTCTGGGCAGAATCCCATATTCGGAAAAATGGTCTGATTCTCACTAACATCTTCATTTCCTTTCTTGTCCAATTTATTTAGGGCATTCAGTAGATGATATGAATCGCTTTTCTGCAAACATGTAATTGCAAACTTTAGAAGTCTTCTCTACTTCCAAGTAAATGTCCTTAAGGAAGAAAAACATTGATCAATGGTGAATCATATGTTTGGTCCCTAATTTAAGTTACTTCTTAACTTTAAGGTACCTGAAGGGAAAATGTTTCACGCCTGACCTTCAGTTGCAAAGGTTTTGTTATGCTTTAAAAGCTTTTAACTGAATTTGCAATGCCAAACTTGCAGCAGACATCTTTTCAGCCAGGGACCCTCACTCAGTCAGACTCCTGAATGGAAAGGAGCATTCAGCACTGAACAAAACAGACAGACCTCTATCTCACAGCATGTAAAAACATTCTCTGCACACAACTCTAGGGCCCTGAGAAGGCAGAAAAAAAGAAAGAGCAAAACATTTTTTATATCCATATCAATAGCATATGGAAATGTTCCAATGTGCTTTCAAAGTTTGACAGTTATTCATAATAATTCCTTTCAACATCTCCCAAATGTCCCCTGAACATCTCCAAATTAGAAGCTATATGGGAGTTATTTGTCAGAGATACCCTTATGTTTATTTTTATTTGGCCTTTCTTGGTTGCAATAGATTGTCAGGCAGTACACATTGAACTATATCAACACACCAAAGATCACACTGAACTGTATCCTGGCAAATCTATGTCACAGGGGTACATTTGCTGGCTGTGCAACTACGTATCAGGAGGAATAATTCAAATCACACTTACTACAATGTGAGTAGAACACAGGAAAAGTCCTATTTTAACTTCTTCAGGAAGCTGGTGAATTTTAAATACCAGGTTCTGCTTTTGTGGAAGAAAGCCTGGGCAATATCCACGGGCAATGGATTTAGACATTAATCTCCAGGAAAATCTGCCCTAGGTTGTATTTCTATTTAAAAGGTGGTTTTAATTTATAACCTGTGAAACCATGGGTGTATCTAGTCAGCTCTTTTCATCTTTGTGAAATAAATCATACTATAACATATATCAGCAATCCATACTCAGACACCAACAGCTTCAGAATTATCTTACCCTACTCAGAAATGGAACAGATGCATCATTGGAGGGCTTTTTTTCACTGTATATTTATGCATTTACTATACACATAGACGTTGTATACAATATATAGAAGCACAAGGAGTTTGAAGAGTGCTCACCATAAGTAAGAATATACAGTGGTTTTCCATTAGTATCCATAGTGGTTAGGCAAGGAGCTTTCGGTGAGATGGTCCCCCATCGCTGCAAAGCTGCTTCCAGAGAAGGCGGCCAATTTGTAACCACACCTAATTGTTCCCCACGCATAGCCAACATCTGAGCTCCTTCTGGCTTTGGCTGGTTTGGATCTGGCTGTTGAACTTATGATTATGAAAAGATATACAGTTACCATGTAAATTCTATACCTTGTGTACACCTGTGTAACCAAGAGAATAAGTTACCTTTGCAAAATATCCTGAAAATAATAACATGTTAGAAGGTTTTGAGAAGCAACAGAGAAATATAACAGAATAATTAACTTTAAACTTTAATAGAGATGAAGTAACTGAAACATCTCAGGGATGCATGTGCTTATCCTTACACTAGCTCTACAAGCAGGGAAAGAAACTGCTGAGGCAGCATGCATGTATTTACCTTTGAAATAATCAACCTTTCTTTACTCCTAAAGAGAGACGGAGAATACTTTTTCCCGGCAAAAATGCAGTAATGAGATAAACTGCAAAACTACTGAACAAATCTACTTTAACAAGTCATAAGTAATAGATTGATTTAAGTCATGTTCTGTTACAGTGCTTTCTTATAAACCACTATGAAGACTATTTAAATCACCACATCCTGGCAAATCTTAATTCTCAAAGCACTGGCCTCCAAAAAAAATTTCCATTTATTGGCTTTATCCTTGTTTCTATCTTACACTTAGTTCATCTTTTCAATGCTTCTCTCTTACACAAAGGATGTGTAAAACATTTAATACGCTCCCTCACTGACACTTTTTCTCATATTGGTGTTCAAAAGCAATGGCTGTAACCCACAGCTGAATGTTCTCAAAGCAAAGCTTCCCTCCGGTCTCTTCTGTGGTTTCTTTGCAAGCAGAAGCAGAAGCTGAGCAAACAAGAGAGACTTTTGACTCTACGGCTCTATGTCCAAGCTCACTACAAGCAGATTCCACTGAATACCAATGCTTTTTGGTACTTGTCAGTACAGGGAGGGCTTACTTAGCTTTCTAGAATGTGTGAGACAAACATTTTACAGAGTTGTAATAAGAGATCCCCAAACCTTTTGAAAAACAGTCATTTTACCTTCTAACAATTCCTCAAAGTCATCTACAAAGAACTCTCGTAATGGTGGTCGTTTGGGCCGTTTTAGTGTATTGACCAGCTGCTGAATCTTTGCTGACACTCTGCTGCTCACTGGTACTCCTGCAGGACAGGGATCAATGGAGACATCAGTCGACTGCTACGCTGAACACCACCAGACGTTAAGTGGGGTAAGAAAAAGGCTAGGACTGCAAGGCCACCACAACTACAGTTTCATGCCATACTGTGACTCAAGTATTCAACATTAAGACATTAAGATCATTTCAGCAAAAAGGAACAATGATGCCTAGTTTAAATAAAAACAATACAACAATGTCAGAGTGAGCTTGCAAAATTAGAGGGGAAACAGCACATAGACTGAGGGAGAGAAGCATAGTGAGAAAAACCTCCCGACAGCAAATGTCAGTAACCTTAGAGAACAATTCTAGGTGGCATTGACAACGGTCAGTGAGAAGACGGGCATTGGCTCTCCTCATGATCACTGGTCATATCAGTATTGTCTGACTAGACCGCAGCTCAGCAAGGAGTGTGGGTCATAGGCTCTGCCCCATCATTTATTCTGGGTTGCTCTTTACACTGTAGTGGACATCTGTCCAGTATCCGTCTTAAACGTGGTTCACATCTTTGTATTACTTTAGCTGTATTCACCCTGTATTCACTGAACATCCCTACAGCCAATCTCACCAGCCAGCAATCTCCAAAGGGAGTGTGCTTGCCCATGCAGCACTTTGAAAAACACAACTCTAAACAGGAGCGTGGGGCAAGAGGCACTTCTGTAATATAATCCCATCAATCACCTCCCCCTTCCTTTTTCCTAGTAGAGTGCAAAGTCTCTACGATGTTCATGTCATCCATTCCTGAACTAACAGCTTTCTGTCACTGCATTGCAGAAATTTCAACTTCCTACCTTTCCATAAGGTTGGCTCCAAAACCATTACCAAGTGGTTTTTAGAGCTGAAGCTGCTAAGTCTAGATGTGATACACTTAGTCAACAATTCCACACCTTGCTGAAATATTGTTTAACAAGTTTTAGAAAAGAGGAGCAGTAAATAAGAAAGGGTTTACAAATAACTGTTTTTCAAAAAAAAATAGAAAATAAAACTTCAAACTTTTCAAGATGTAGCTATCCTACCACGTCACATTCTTTGCCATTTAAATAACAGACTAGCTGTAACCAGGCAGAATGATAAAAGCAAATCTAAAGAGATTCACTGCTTTCTTTTGCCAAACAATTTCTACAGGGAATCAGCTCTGCTGCTTAAGAAATACTTCTCCATGTTGGCTTCATTTATATCAGTTTATTTTAGGACTGTAAAGATGCTGAAACTTTCTACGTGTTTAGAAGTGAAAAGTGCCCAGAAGAAATAAAGAGCAGATGCATACAGTAACCACTAAAAAGGTTACCATACTCGGAAAGAAAACAATTTTGTGACATACCATCACCAGTCTCCATAAGCTCAGCGTTTCCATACTTTGGTGCCACCCGTGCCGTTGATCCTTGTGGTCTCTCTACTTGTATTGAGTGTTCTGAGGTGTAAGTGGTAACATCTGGAGGGGCAGAATGATTTTCTGTGAAAAATAAGTTAGAAAGTTTAACTGTGTACCTCTAGTGTTGAAGGGCAGAAAAGCAAAAGGGAAAGGAAAGGATATTATTTGATTTTTTTTCCCCAACATCTGAACAGGTGTTAAAGTTAATACACAAAATTAATGTATACAACTATAATATACAGTATGATTTTAATGAAGTTTCCAATGATTAAAACAGGGGCTGTATATCTGCAATCATAGAAGCAATAAGCTAAAAAAAAAAGGATACAATTAGGTTGTAGGTTCTCCACTGACATTTAATTTTATGCTAAGTTAAAGCTTGTGAACAGCCTCAAATAGAAAAGACCCAGATAAATATACTTCTGATAGATTACTGCGTCATTTTTTCTGAATAAAAAGAACACAGCACATTCTCAATCACTTGCAAGTGCCAATGCATAACACTTGTGTAACCTCTGTATTTTGAATATGCCAATTTTAGTTAAGAAAAGAATTTGTTCATATATTAGGAAAAAAATCAATCATAGCAGGGTTGAAATCAGGGGAATGAAATAAAATGTAAAGAAACATGAACTTTGCATTCTGCATGGACACTTGCTTGTCTACTATTTTTAGATGGAGCTATTTCAATTCCTCTGCATAACAAAGACTTGCCTTCCAGAAGGCAAACACAATTTGGTCTGACTCATGCCAGCACTGCTAACCAATTCCACAGAGCTAATCTTTCTCTTTCATAGCCTGATAACTCAGCATGCTACCACAGTTTGTTTTCCCATGTTTTGAAGTCTGAATTTGTATTACCTACGTATTTGTACTATTTTTATGGGTTGATGGGTTGTCTCATAAATTTTTTCCGGGTTTTTATCCGCATTAGAGTAGACGGAGATAAATACCATGAGGAAATAACAACTTCTCTTTTGATTGACAGAAATGATCCACAACAGCCTCTGAGATACAAAAGGAGGCAGGTCTTCATTTTGCTGCCACTGAAGTGAAGAGGAATGCACTCCATTTTACAATAGGGTAAGAGTCTTTAAAAATGTAAAAATTTTGGAAAAAGTTCATCTTGTTCCAATAATATTTGCAAGGTGTGCTTTTTATTAAATCTGTCCTATAAGCATTATGGTGCCCTAACTCTACTACACCACCACCTTCTACAGTAAATGTCACCTTAAACGTAATTATAAGGCATTTTAATGAGTCTTGAACTTTGGATCATGATAATTTGTGTGCATTCAATCCCAGATTCATGTACCATCAACATAGATAACTGATTTTTATGGCTACACATACGGTAACAGGATGCTATATTAGATGCTTATTTTGCATACCTCTCATTTAAAGGTAGCATTTGACAGACAGTGATCATGAAAAATTAAGACATTATATTAACGTCTGTAGTTGTTATTTAATGCTTATATTCATTAATATCATAAGGACTCAACCTTATCACTCAACCATAGTATCTGTTTGAGGAAAACACAAGATGGCTTTTATCATGCAACTCAAAAACACCTTGCATCCTACAATGTCCAATTGAGCCTTTTGATTCTCATCATATCCATTGTTATAATTTTACTGAAGCAAACACCTTATATTGTGCTACAAGTGACTAACTGAAGTATAATAGCTTGGACAATGAAGCTTATGCTGGTAATTGTTTGAATAATGTCTTCATTTTAGATGTCATTATCAACTACTCTAGAATCAGCAAAATTTTTGCTTGCTAAGTGGCAAGAGTTTTTTATAGATCATGATTGAATTACTCAATAACTAAGTAAATTAAAAAATGCTGATGTTTATATTTTTATCTTTTACTTATAATGCAGTTTTGCTATGCAAATAGAAGAGATCATGACTAAGAAAATAATTGTACTTAGTCAACTATTAGTAACATGAGAAAGTATTTTTAAAGTTAGCTCTAACTGTTTACATCTTTTCAGTGAAGTATTTCCATCTTTCAGACTTTACAAGGCAAATTGAATTGGAGTTAAAGTATCTCTGTTCAGGTTTTAGCACTGAGATTATTTCTTTTTAATGTATAGGAGAGAAGATATGTGATGCAAAGAACCACAGAGCAGAGATGCTCTCCCTTCAGACCTATACACTTGAAACCAAATACTTCTTTGTAACACATTGTGTGGAGTAGGGTGAAATGACATAAGAAAGAAGCTTCCAGCTCTTTTGTAAAAGGGTTTCCTTTTGAACGAGCAGCACTGGCACATGAAATTACCTAAAAGAAACTACCTTCCCAAGGTGGCCACCACTGGCTAGCCAAAGAGTGGGGTTTTAGTACCCTGGCTGCCCATCTTCTATTTGCATTTCCATTAAGAAGAACTCTTATCCAGCAGAAGAGGAACATTACGGTTTGTCCTGCCATGTTCCTTTATAGTGTCTGCTTAACAGATGTCTTATCATAGCAATATCTACAGCTGTAAGCTTCATCCATTAGATTTAGAAATCGTCAGTCGGTTCCCTTCTCAAAGCCAGGCTTGGAGAAATGAAAGTCATACAGAGAAAAATTTGGTCTGAATGACTTCTAAAGAAAAAGATCATCGTTATGTTATGTGAAATATACCCTTTTTGGTATAGAACAGTCAATCTGGGCTTAGACTATGGACACAATCTGTATATATCTGCTTGGTCTTATGTCAGGTAACTTGAAGCACTGTTTTAGGTGTAGTTAAGAATAATGATCCTGACACATCTGTTGACTAAAAAGTAGAAACTGTGACAGCTGCATGACTTCAAAGCATTTCCTCCATCAAACACACATATTTGCATCACCTCCTCTTCCCATCTCTTCCAATATTCTTGCATCACAGACAGAACAGCTATTTCCAGATAAGGCGCTCTTCATTTCTGCCACTGATGTAATTTACTCCATTTAACGAAAATCCAAAAGAACCAACAATGCAGAGCGCATTCACGTAGAGATAGAGCACATGCATTTACAGAGCCTCGTGTTTGATGAGAAGCAAATAGGTGTAGGAATACTTTCCAGTGGAAGTTTGGAAGCACACATAAGCACCATATATTTGAAAAGTCTCCAGGAACTCAAGAAACATTCCTGCAATACTATATACTTGAAGAAAATGCAGCTTTTTCTTTCAAACAAGCTGGGCCTTTTGGTTGTCAGGGAAGGGAAATCCAGAGTCAGAGCCGCAGCTATTTCCATCAGCTCGGTTTCTCCCATATTCATGTCCAGGTGACAGTATTTTAAACTAGTCTGTATTATAAGTTGATATTCCCCTCAGAACATGTAAGAATTTTAAGGTTGTCAGAGAACTATCAGTCATGCCTTATGGCACATGGTTTTATGTTTCCTTGATTAGAAATCTATGTAGCCTTTAATTTGGAGAAAGGCCTTTGATTTTCAAACAGAAACATATTCAAAGCATAAAAAAGAAACATTAAATACACCTACAGGTTCAAAATTTTGTAGTGAGATTCTTAACTTTATATAAATTTACAGTCATAGGCAAGCGCCATGTGATTTTTATTACATGAACTATGTGAGCTTTAGGATGTGCTCTCTCTCCTCGATTTTTATATACATATAGATCCAAAACATATATACAGACAAATGAAAGCTTAAAGGCCTTAGAAATTCATAGAATACTGACCTAAAGATGGGTCAGAACATTAGATATTTTTTACAGATTTCACTGGCTTGACCTCTAAATGATTCACAAAGCTGAACTCTGATTATATTATAGCGAAAGCTGTTTATCAAATCCCATCTCAGAACTGCATTACAGTACTTAAACTGGAAAAATCTCCCTTTGATTCTGTGATGCACTCTGGAGGTCAAATCAGAAAGGGTATCAGAATGGAGGGTTTTTTTGGTTATCATTAAAGGTCTTTCCTGTTGCCCCTTAAATTTGTATTTATCAAAATTGGCATCTTCAGAGCATGGCAATATGTCCTTACATATTTACAGATGATTTCTCTCTTGCAGGCTGATCTGTCTCTGGAGAACAATTCTCTGGACCAAACAAACGTCAAGCCATGGGAATAGATGTTCTTCGTGATCAAGAACAAATTGTCTCCAGCAGCTGAGGAGCTTCAGAGAACAGGATTACTCTTCTCTCTCACCTTCTCTCCTACCAAAGAGGATTATTCACCTACCATCACTGGCACATTGCCTCTGAAAGAGCAAGGCTATCTGTGGGAATACTTCAAATCTATTACCTCTCAGAATACATTTAAATGCAAAATCCACCTCCCTGAATTGAAAAAAAAAACAGAAGAGCCATTTAATTTCAAATTCTTAGAGAAAGCAGCTCACCCATGAAGAAATACATCTTACAGTTATCATCTGTACAGCTTCTCTTAGATTTCTGGTGATCTTAGCAACAACAACTGATGGTAACCTTAAGATCACAGTCTCAATCTGCTAGCAGGTATCACTAATATTTTGTATCCAAATGACCTTCACATTACTACATCACAACTACTGTCCAACTAGAGATGCAATTTAAGGTATTTTATTGTCAGAATGAATAAAAATATGCATACACTGAGATAAGCTTAGCTGTTTGCTTCAAAGGAAAGAACTTTCTAGTCAACAAGAAGGCAAAATAGAACAAGTCAAAGAAGTAGTCTTTTTCCTCTTCTGCAGAATACTGCCATCTTAATTTAGCTTTCTGTATTATTTACCGCAAACTCAGTGATTATAAAAGAAGACTTACTGTGCCAGATTTAAAATTACTGAAATGTCACATTATAAAGAAGCTATATTTAAAGACACATTAAGACTTGGTGTGTGAGTAATGCAACCTTTCAGAGTTTGGATAAATTTAATTCTTTCTGCTATAATTTCCTCTAGCATTTCAAGATGAAGTCACAGAAAATAACCAAATGCAATGATTAATGTCTTCAGAAGTGTATGTGTTTCTAGAACAAGGTTCTAAGCTATTAATTTAGCATGAATTTAAGAACACAACACGAATTCTTCCCTTGACTGCAATTCAGCAATTCCAGACCATGGTGAGAGGATTACTTATCTGAAAACACAGGTGTTACATCAAGTTATACTCATAGCAAAAAAAAAAAAAAGGGATATGGACTACTGTTCCAGCACATAAAATCAGGAAAATTTAAGATGCTTTCATGTATCTCATGACATATATTTGAAAAGGAATGATCAGTTGAGGAACAGTCCCACAAAAGCGCATTTCATATGTAGTAGAACAGTAGCAAGGTTGCTTTATTTGTTCCAATATACATTCCAACAGATTTGCAGTGAGACAACCCAAAACACACAGCCCCAGCAAGAATGCACCCAAAGCAGATGCCTCATATGATAAACAGCAGTTACTGGAGAATGAAGGGAAAACAAACCTTGCTTTCCATGTGCCTAATCCTGTAGCTGCCTCATTTTAATAAAGACTAATGTTAATGGCACAATATTCAGAAAAAATTAATGTCGCGAAGCTTACCCCTAACAGAAAGAAAGCTTTGACTTCCTAGGATCTTTCCAAAGGTTATAAACAAGCTACTAATAAACTCTTCTCAAAGGTATATAATAATCTTTCCCAAGGACTATAATAGCTAGATATCACAGCCTAAGTATTCTAGATTCAATTAAGGGCAGGAAAAAAACGAGTTTAAGAGGACCTACTGTTAACAGATTTATCAAAAATCACTCAAACTATGTAATTGAAGTGGTGCAGCAGTAGGGAAAACTGGTATGCAAGCAACCCGTAATGCTGCATGCACTGATTTTCCTTACTGATGGATCATACACAGATCTTTTTTAGTGCTAAGTAATGGAAGTCATGCAACTGTGTATTTTAAGATATTTGGGAGCCAATAGCTAAGCCTTGTTTGCCACAACATAAGTTTACTCCAAAATCTAAATTGCTACTTTTTTTTTCCCGTCCTGAAATAAGAACATAGGATTATCTCTCCATATAATATATGTAAATAAAAAAAAAGGAAAGAAGAAAAAGCACAGTAAATACTTTTGTAAGACTTCATATAGCAGCATCAGCTGAATGTGAGAGCCAAAATTCATATTAAACTGGACATACTCAAAACATCCATATACTAACCTATATGCGTTTGAGCCATAACATCAGCTAGTCTGTGTGCAGCACCACTGCCTCCACTTTGTGTCGAGGAGGAGGAAGTAGTTGACGTGGTTGAGCCGTGGATCGCTTGACTGATCCAATGTTCCATGTTTATACTCCCCTGACTTGAAGTGGGAGTTCCCTGGGAGTCACCCTGTACGGAGCCTTCATCTTCTGACCCAGAAGAAGTATCTAGTAATTAAAAACAGCCTGTTAACTTGTGGTGATTTTGGGTTTTTGTAATAGAAATAAGGCGTGTTCATATTACAAATCTAAAGATAACTGCCATTAAGAAAAACTCATGAAGGTAGGCGAACATAACAAGACAAGTCTGTAATACTGAAAACCTTGAAATGAAGTCAACTGCTAACTGCGCACTGAGAGAGCTTTCCTGCTCTTAGGCCACGGCTTGTGTATTATTGTACAAAAATAAGGGTAACAAAAGAATCTTCCTTTATAAAGTGGATTGAGAATCTTCTCCAGCTGGAAGATCTCCAGCCATGTATTAAGAGTACAGAATACCCAAAATACTTTCGCAAGCTCACTCCACAGTGTCTCTGAAACATTTTTGCAGTTGTTGAAAGTCCACCCCTCAGTGAGAAATGGAGTCACAGCTGGATTCAGTGAGTATGAGACTGCATGAGGTGTGGGGTATTTTCACAGTCTGGTAGGTAAAAGAGCAGATAAATTTGAAAAGGGATAGCATGACTAATTGTAAAGACAATGTTACATTATAGCATTAGGGAATAAACCCGAAACGTGAAAGGAACTTTGACTCACATAAAATATGACAAGCTGGCCATAGTTACGTCCTCATAAGACCAAAAGGACTGATAAAAGTCGAGGTACCACCAAGGGCAAAGCAGTCATGCGATTTGCCCCTATTGACTTTCCAACCGTTCAGTTCACCTTCTCTTCAAACATACGTCAGTGCTATGCTCAGTGTGCTTCAAATGACATTTTAATTACTATACATGCAGGCAGATTATTAGTTCATAGCAGCACAAAGAACCATTTTTAAAATTCTCACAAAATACACAGACATGCTCACCTGGAGGTGTGTAGGCATCCATTGATGTTTGCACCACCAATGAACGTCGTTTTGAGGGCATGGGGACTGCCATTTTCCTTTCTTTGTGTTTAGCAAGGGCTGCCTGAACTGCTTCTGTGTGGACATCTGGAAGGAAAGAGAGGTTTCAAGTTAGCGTTCAGACAGAAGCGAGCTGTTTGTTTGTGCATTCAGCGCACCTGCACGCAGGTTCGTCTGTATGCCAGCTAGGCTGACAACATACATCAAATGATGAAAGGCCAGGAATGCACGGGCTCTCAGAGGGACTGCACGAGTCCTCACTGTAGAAAATGCAGCTATAGTGAACAGTGCTGTACCAACAAACAAGCTCTCAGAGCTGTACAATATTCCCAGAACAGTGTTGCAGTATTTGAAGAGTAGAAACGCTGCTTCCCTGGAGCAAACCTCTCCTTAACCAAGAGCTGTTACTTCAGCAACCATTACCGTCAGTGAAAGCATGGTGTATTAACACTGCCTGTTTTTAAAATGAATGAGGCACTACATAAAAGTTACACAGACTAAGTGAACAGGAACATTTGCTTGAAAGGCAAGAGGTATGTGAAATGTCACAACAGAAATGGCAGCAGGTCCCCCATTCCCAAATCCTCCTCCTGCCTCCTTCACTTGGCTTTATTCACAGAAAATTAAGTATTACATGGACTTGGCATGAGGTGGAATGAGAAGAAAAAGCACACTGAGCACAGGCCTGGTGCTTCACAGGCAGGTGCTACACACAGCTCACACCAGCCTGCTCCAAAGCATCCAATAGGTCCATGCTCCATGGACCATGCTCCATGGGGACAGAGCTTCTCTACCTTTCACATGTGTATATATAGCTGTCTGCCTCCCCAAGTCTGAAAAAGGCCATTTATCACATCTAAAAGACACTAGTGACATGTTTTGATTAATTATTTTGTTTTGTGCAAATCTTTTAGTTACTACCATAACTATACATTGAAGTAAGTCTGCCTTTAGTTTACTACCTTGCACTATTTGTCTGCGTATTTCTACAGGTTTGGGACAAGACACGCAAGAGGAGACTGGCTGCAAAACACATGGCAGCCAACAGAAGTCACTTATGGTTAAAGACGTTGACACACTGACATCTGACACACAACTGGAAGCACATTAGAAGTTGCCTTTTAATGAGTTGCCGTTAGTCAGCTGTAGAAAATGCAGCAAGTTGCGTGCGCTATCTAGCTGTTCCCACTTGTGAAACAGGAGCATAGTGAAGCAGGTTTAATCCAGAGTGATCCCACTTCTGCTGCTGCTAAGTTTGCTTGAAGACTACCCTTGTAGGCTGGTTTGGCAGCACGCAGCCTGTTTCCTACGCCTGTGTCGATGTGGTGGCAGCTCTTGACAGGCAGTGCTCCCCAAGAAAAGCAACAGGAAAGAGTATATATATCTTTACTTAAAGAGCTGTTGGTTGGATCACATCAGTATAAGAAACTTGTTTTAAGTAACAACTGGGAAGGATGACTAGGAGCATTAGATGATACACACTGCTGATAAAACCACAATGTCTCATTTCTAATAATAGTGTTCCCTATCTTCTGCCAGGGTGTAAGCACCTCTCAGTTGAAAGACTGTAGGGAAGAGTAAGTCCAACAAAAAGAACATTATCAGCTGCTTTTGTGAGGAGTTTCTTGCTTTTGTTTTAAATGATGAAGAGGATGAGCACGTCAGCTAAAGCAAAGCAAGAAAAGCAAACAGCAAAGCTGGAAAAGCATACTCAAAGGGCAAGAGAACTGTGTGGCCAACAGACCAAAACAAAGGAAGATTGCAATGCTAACATCAAACTAGAAAACAATTTCTCTCCTGTCGAGTCATTATTTTCAAATAGAAGGTTTAAGATCTTTCTTATAATTAAAACCTGATGAAAAGTTTATGTGAAAAGTATCAGGCGAAGAAAATAAACAATGTAAGTCTTTACCTAACAGCATGTCCCCAAGATAAATTCCTACCTGCTCACTCCACACCAATGTCAATAACATATACAGGACTGAACACGTTCACTAATAGCTTGTGTTTCTTATCCAACAAACAGGGAAAATTCTTGGTTTTCCTTCAAAGGATAGCAATTAGATATCAAGCAGTAAAAAATGAGCTTTCCCTTTTAAAAAAGAACAAAACTCTACAGCAATTTTTGGAAGAGAATAAATTTTGCTCATGAAGACAGGAAGAATTATTTGTATATTATTGTATTTAGAATTGTTTTTTACCGTGTTAGGAGGGAGATGAGGTGCAACTCAAATTCTTCAGAAGGTTTTTAAAGGCAGACAGCAGACAGAAAATCATTATTCAAATGCTTAGTGACAGCTGGACACTGAATCATAACTTGTGAATTCTTTGATTTCTTTTTTGATGCTTTTTTGATGTGAGATGGTAAACTCATCAGCTTAATTAAAAAACACTCTGCAGGGTTTTGATTTTCAAATGCATCCACAGGAGTCCAGGAATTGAATTGTTTTCTTAATAAAGCACATGCTTCATATGTTTATTTGTAATGGGTTACTGTGGAATAAACCACTATAGATCACTAAAAAAACCCCAGCCAAAACAAAAAAACCAACCCACCGGAAAGCAAAAACAATGGAAAAGATAAGAAACTGAATAAACAACAGGGAAGCTGGCTGGGGAGAAGGAACACACACACCTGCTCCCAGCCCAGCCTGCAAGGTCAACTATTCTGAAGGCATTATTTGGAGTATGGAGGCTACCAAAAAAAAACAGGACACATGTCTAGAAAAGGCTGAGGACAGACAGTCCAGAGATTGTCCAGGGACTGTCAGCAAGAGCTTACAGGCTTTTAGGAGGAGAGACAAAAAAGGCAGCAGAAACAGTCAAGATTCGATGAAAAATCTTTTCACAACGTTCTCACCCAGGAATAAAACTCTTTGTTAAATGAAGTGTCTCTAAGCATATAAAGAAAGGCTAAGGATTAGGTAAAGAATGAATAACAGCCTATATGTTTGTTTGGTCTTCTTTTTGAATGAAAGCCTATTGATGGGTTCTGAAGATACTCTTCAACCTATGTCGACAATCTTGTAATGAGTTGGACTTGTTAAGCTAATGAACAGCCTTCAAGCCATTCATACCTAGAGACAAGTCCCAAAGTACTGAGAAATCAGTGGTGAGGGAAAGCCAGATAAGAATTACACCTGAGAACAACTCACGGGTTACAACATCTATCTTGTAACCACAGTAAGACAGAAACAGTAAGTAGGTTTGTTCCCACCAAATATGAGCTGACAAAAGTGTCCGAACTGTCTTCTCAATCTACCCTGGCACACTCAGGCTAACTGAATCATATTGAGATTGAGCATTGCTTTAAAACACAGATTTCTTGTTAAATTTTCCTGAAAAAATTTGTCCACGTATCAAGATTTTGTCCAGAAACACCACACAGTTAGGAGACTGCATTTAAAAAAAAAAAAATTTTTCAACAAAAACGCCCCTCTCCTCTCTTTCCTCATAGTATGGCGTGCTACAATTTCTCACCTATTATAAACTCCTGATAGAGTTTCAAACACAGATATACCTTGATGTAGTTGCACTGAAGCCTTCTGGAAAAGTCTGAGGTCTAAGTGGAAAGAAAATGCTTTTAGGCAAAATGTTCTTTCATGTAGAAGTCTGTGACATTCTAACTACACTGTTACAGCTCATAAAATGACTCCAGGTCCTGACACTTCAAAGCAGTCTTATAGGTAAGAAAATCTTTATACTCTTCCCACCTGGCTTTTCCACAAGAAAGTCTCAACGGAAAATCTAGAGCAAAGTATCACCACCTCTATCTGCAATAGTAGGAACCAGTGCATAGTTCCTTATCTGCTGTTGTCCTCCACTGTTTTAGGTTGGCCAACCACACGTTGAATCAAATTTGTAAGTTTGTACTCAAGGAACCAATAAATGGGAAAGAGTAAAGGAACATGCTTGGGAAAGCTAATTGCTTAACTCGTGCTGTTGCAATCAACCTGGTGTTCAGTATTCAACCTGACACACATTTCGTATAGGCTGCCTGTTAATACTTAGCAAACTTCAGACAAAACAGCTCTGTCCCCAGTCTTTTCTCCGTTGCGTTCAAGCATTTTTATTTATTCGCTCCCTTTATTTTCCATGACAGGATAAAGAGGGTAAGCATACTTGTGGGAGCAAATTCAGTAAGTGAAATACAAAGGAAGTGGAACTGTAAAAACATGCACGTGATAGAAAGTTTCCCTTCAAAGAGCTAACGATCTATTAAACAAGAGATGAGGCCTCAAAACAGAGGGCAGAGAAATTAAAACTGGCATAGAGAACGAGGGTCCATAAGCTCAGACTCCCAGAGCGATGGCCTATGGCTTTGGCCACTGAGCTCCACAATCAGAACCTCTCATCCGTCGCGAGCAGAGGTAAATGTCCACGAAAGGATGCATTGCCCGGGCGCAGGCACTCTTATCATCTGGTTTCTCTCGTAACTTGACACAATGTTGCTCTCCTTGTTTAAATGAAAAGGCTTAGGAAAAAATAGAACAACCCACTAACCTACATTAATACACAGCACCACCTTGATATGGACACCGTGCGCTCCATGGTCTTTCCCAGCTTTATCCCTCGGTGTGATCCACTGGCTGCGTGTTCAACACATCAGTGCATCTGACTGTCCATGGCAAAGGGAGCCAGCCCATCTCTGCTTCTGTGGAACAAAGTGACATCCTATGTGCGCTGGCACGCTGCTCCGATGGGATCCCACCGGCATAAGAAACCAGCGGGAGACTGGTGAGTCGGTGGTCAGCACTCAGCCATGCCGGAGGGGTGAGCCTGTGCTCAGAGACTGTTCACGTTAAGCGCATGGCGACGTGGGAGGGAGCAGCCTATTCTGAACAGGCAGAACTGGGTGAAAGAAGGTATTAGGGACGCGACTGTATTAACCTCTGATAGCTGGGCAGTGTTCAAAGGTTAAATTCTAATGCCCAGAAATATAGAAGTGAACACTGTTAATTACAGATTGCTCATACTATTTACCCCTTTTTCACAGTGTTCTTTAACTATTTATTCCATACATTTTTGATGACCTGAAACTAATTTGGGGGGCATGACAATTTTTTTTTAGTCAGTAGTTGGGTTGG